GATCCTCCTGAGCGGTCTCCTCTCAGACCTGCTTCACCGCGTCCTGATCCTCCTGAGCGGTCTCCTCTCAGACCTGGTTCACCGCGTCCTGATCCTCCTGAGCGGTCTCCTCTCAGACCTGCTTCACCGCGTCCTGATCCTCCTGAGCGGTCTCCTCTCAGACCTGGTTCACCGCGTCCTGATCCTCCTGAGCGGTCTCCTCTCAGACCTTCTTCACCGCGTCCTGATCCTCCTGAGCGGTCTCCTCTCAGACCTGGTTCACCGCGTCCTGATCCTCCTGAGCGGTCTCCTCTCAGACCTGCTTCACCGCGTCCTGATCCTCCTGAGCGGTCTCCTCTCAGACCTGGTTCACCGCGTCCTGATCCTCCTGAACGGTCTCCTCTCAGACCTGCTTCACCGCGTCCTGAGCGGTCTCCTCTCAGATCTGCTTCACCGCGTCCTGATCCACGCTGGTTCTGGCCATCTCCTCAATGCAAGTGAAGCAATTTAAGGGACTCCTAGGATCCTTATCACATTTATAGTTTAATGATTAATGGGCAGCTCTGTGTTGAAGACTCCTGGGACTAAAGGCTAAGTGCGAGTGGTGGCAGTATGCAGAAGTAATTCAACAGAAATACCGAATAAAGCTTAACAGTAGTTTATTTACACCTTAACCACTAATACAATGATGGAGTCCGTGTATACATTTTCATTCTGATTCTCTAGTTCCTCTAACTTCTGCTTTCACTTTACAAGGAGTACGTCTTTTCCGCTGCTGATGGTAACTTGTTTAAGTCTACCTCCGGTGTTTGGGCTGAAATTATATATACTTCGAACTTTCCCTTTTCGATTCCTGTAGTTGCCATTCCTTCGTGGTGTAGATACCTCCAGGTCTGCAGTCTCCCTTTCCCATTTTCACTACTTTGCACTTCTTGGCATTGAATAATAGCAAGCAATTATTTGCCAACTCTTGAAGTTTTTCAGGGTCCTCCTGTATCTTTCTGCACTCCTCCTTTGATTTTAAATTCCTCAATAGCTTTGCATTATCTGCAAACACTGATAGGGAAAGGGCCCCACGTTTAGGTTGGTCGTTCACATAAATCTATTAATAAAAATGTATATGTTTGTTTGTTCAAAATCTTAAATCTCAGATAGTATTCCACCGATTGCTTTGAAATTTTGGCATAACGTTCCATTCAAATACACGTGTTTTTATATACTTACTATATAGATGTCACACCTGTGACAGGTAAAAACATGCTATTTTTTAACTGTGTTTTTCATGTAGGGGAATAATTATGGGGACGAGGGGACGGGGGAGTGGGGGGGAATGATGTGGAGGATGAAGGGACGGGTAGTGGGGGGTGGTGGGGAGGACGAGGGGACAGAGGACGGGGGAATGGCAGGGAGGACAGGGGTACGGGGGAGGGTCGGGAGTTCTAGAGTAAAACCAGACAATCTCCATACCTCCCCAGACAATGGAACAACAACAAAAATTGTATACCAACAAGCATTGTGCAATTTTACATATTAGAAATGTGCGCTTTCTCTTTTCTTTCTTTTCCATTTAACCAGACTGACCCATAGTAACGTGTGGCTGGGTACAGCTAGTTAAGAATAATTGCGGTTCCAGGAATTGTTTCATATATTTTATTTTATCTATTTTGTATATATTTATTTATACAACGTGGAACTTTTTGTATTACTAATTGTGCCAGGGGGGAATGGGGGTGGAAATTCTAATTCCAAGTTCTTGTGTATAATTGGTTATATCTGACAGGTTCCAGATCAACTCGACAAATCCCCGGCAAGTGCAGCTTGTGAAAAAGGCCCTTGTCCTATATCCTCCACGGTCACAATCCTGGGTCAGTTAGGCTAAGTCTAGCCCCATATCCTACACCCGCAACCCACGGTCAAAATCCTAGGCATGTTCACCATTACCTCTTGAAAAACCATAATAAAGAACAAGTAGTGACGTCACTACAACAACAATAACTATTACTAGTGATACAACTGGTAGTAATAGTACTTTAGTAGAATATTGTGGCTAATGATGCTTTCACTATTGATAATTATAACTAACAAATAATACTATTAATGACACCAATGATAAAAATAATATTAAAATAATAATTTTAGCAAATTTATATTAAAAATAATATTAAATTTTAACTGAATATTAAATTTAAAAATAAATTTAATAATAATAAAAATTAATACTAAATTTTAAAAAATTAATATTAAAATTAATATTAATACCAATAATTTTAATATCACATATATTAACAACACTGATATTAACAATATTAAATAACAACAATGTTAACAATAGTAATATTAACAACACAAATATTAACATAGGGTAAAACCCCTCACTTATGTATTTGTGAAGTTTATGTAAAAAAGTAGTCTTTCTCACTCTCCTGAGGTCTGAGTGTGTGGTGAGGACGAGACTTACATGTCAACGACTAATGAGGCTGCCATCCGGGGTCCTCTCCTCTTATCCTTCTTGACTCCTCTGGCCATGTCACATCTATTCCCACCTGCTGATGAACTAGCGGTAATGTCTTCTACGGAATTATGGTCATGTGTCCTTTCTGTGATCCTTAGATTCTATGTAAGTTTTTTTGGATTAAGGTTAACCCTCGTGGTTCACTGAAAAAGCACACAGTCAAGCTAATGGCATCCTTTACGCTAAAACTGAGAGATGCCTTTGGAATCCTGATAAGAAAATAGTTTTGAAAATAACATATGATCCTCATTTAAGTAAACTGACATATAACGTAATTCAACCCATCCTCCTGTTTAGATTATAGATCTGTAACCATGTGCACCACAGTACAAAGATTGACGTATTAAGCAATTAGATGGCAGACTCTTTTACTCTTAATTAACTTAACAGTCCGACAAAAATTTCATCAAACCAAACAAATTAAAAATTCCTAGGCCTAAAATAGCAAACACATGTATTACATTAGGCCTCAGTTAGCGTTTATTAGGCCTAGGAAGGTTAGGTTAGGTTAGTTTAGTTCAGTTTAGTTTAGTTTGTCTTATCATCCTAAATAGAAAATCTTTTCCGGTTTGTCCAAATCCTATATGATTCTTTTTTAATTAAAATTGAATCTCAATTAATGGATGAATGCAAGAAGTCCCATTTGCCGCGTTTATTGGGGTATAGAGAGGGTTACGAGGGACAGCATCCAGATGAACACCTCTATTAATAACAACTACAGTTCCCAGAATAACCGGATCACATGACCATAGTTCCAAAGAAGGCATTACCGCTGGTACATCAGGAGGTGGGACTAGAGGTGACCTGGCCAGGAGGTCATGAAGGGTAAGAGGATTAGTCCCAGGATGTCAGCCTCATTAGTCGTTGAGACGTAAGTCTCCTCCTCACCACACACTCAGTCCTTGACAAAGCACTCAGGAGAGTGTGAAAGACTTGGTGTAATTGTTTACATAAATTTCACAAATACATTAATGTGGTTTTTTATCCTATGTTATTATGGTAAGACATTACAATCCCTAATATTAACAATTGTATATATTAACAATAGTACAAAGGGTCTTACTGAGGGTTCGAACCTGTGCGCTGGATGTTCCCAGATGCGCTCCAGTCAACTGTAACCAGAGCGCTGCTCTAGTTACATTCCCTCTATTCATCTTTCCATTCGATTCAATCCATTAACTTCTATACTTTCGAACCCTAATAGGGTACAAACCTATGTATTGGAACATCCAGCACACAGGTTCGAACCCTCATCGAGGCCCTTGTGGATTTATTCATGTGATATATCACGTTATTGTGATTTTTGTGTGTATTAACAATAGTAATATTAACAACAAAATAACAATAGCAATATTAACAACAATAGTAACAATATAGTAATATTAACAACAATAGTAACAATATAGTAATATTAACAACAATAGTAACAATATAGTAATATTTACAACAAAATAACATTAATAATATTAACAACAATATTAACAATAGTATTAATAACAACACTAATACATTAATAAATCACGCTAAATGGGATATAAATAAATGAGAAAGTCAATTGGAGCAATGAGGTGATTCGACCCAGCGATCAAGGAATTCCCAGCTGCGCACCTTGCCCCTGTACCATGACCTGGGGGAAGCTATGTATCCTGGGACTCCAACTCAATCCACAGGAAATCTTGAGGCTTCACTGAAGCCAGTTTTCCTGTGAATTAGATGTGATGGCAGGTTGTATAACGTATAAATGTGATGGCAGGTTGTATAACGTATAAATGTGATGGCAGGTTGTATATCGTATGAATGTGATGGCAGGTTGTATAACGTATAAATGTGATGGCAGGTTGTATATCGTATGAATGTGATGGCAGGTTGTATAACGTATAAATGTGATGGCAGGTTGTATAACGTATAAATGTGATGGCAGGTTGTATAACGTATAAATGTGATGGCAGGTTGTATAACGTATAAATGTGATGGCAGGTTGTATAACGTATAAATGTGATGGCAGGTTGTATAACGTGTAAATGTGATGGCAGGTTGTATAACGTATAAATGTGATGGCAGGTTCCATAACGCATGTGATAGCAGGTTGTATAAAGTATAACTCATGGGACGGGCAAGGTGTATATCAGGGAGTTCTTTGATCGATGGTTCGAGTCACTTCATTGCTCTAATTTTCTCACAGCACAAGTACTAACAACAACAATAAAGTTACAAACATTAAAAAGAACTCTAAATCACAAAGAAATCACATTAATGAGAAAATTGGAGCCATGAGGAGGATTCGAACCTGCACACTGGGCACTTCCAAGCACTTGCCCTAGACCATTACACAACATGATAAAAGCATTGCAATCAGGGATTCATCACAATCATCTAGGGGACTGAGGCTTCCACTGAAGCCCAGTCAGGGCCTCGGAGTTCACAGGGCAATGTGTGAAGCCCTGACTGGGCTGCAATGGAAGCCTTAGAACACACAGATTATTTCATTGAATCTCAGGTTGCATTATTTTTACCATGCAGTGGTGTAGTGGTCTAAGGTGTGTGCTTGAGAGTGCCCAGTGTGAAAGTTCGAATAGTCATCAGGGCTCCTGATTTTCTCAACTCTATTATCAGCACCAACATTATCAGCACCAGTATTATTAACACCAACATTATCAACACCAGTATTATCATCATCAACATTATCAGCACCAACATTATCAACACAAGTATTATCAACACCAACATTATCAACACCAGTATTATCAACACCAACATTATCAGCACCAACATTATCAACACCAGTATTATCAACACCAACATTATCAACACCAGTATTATCAACACCAACATTATCAGCACCAGTATTATCAACACCAACATTATCAACACCAACATTATCAGCACCAACATTATCAACACCAGTATTATCAACACCAACATTATCAACACCAGTATTATCAACACCAACATTATCAGCACCAGTATTATCAACACCAACATTATCAACACCAGTATTATCAGCACCAACATTATCAACACCAGTATTATCAACACCAACATTATCAACACCAGTATTATCAACACCAACATTATCAACACCAGTATTATCAACACCAACATTATCAACACCAGTATTATCAACACCAACATTATCAACACCAACATTATCAACACCAACATTATCAACACCAACATTATCAACACCAGTATTATCAACACCAACATTATCAACACCAACATTATCAACACCAACATTATCAACACCAACATTATCAACACCAGTATTATCAACACCAACATTATCAACACCAGTATTATCAACACCAACATTATCAACACCAGTATTATCAACACCAACATTATCATCACCAACATTATCAACACCAACATTATCAACACCAACATTATCAACACCAGTATTATCAACACCAACATTATCAACACCAGTATTATCAACATCAGTATTATCAATACCAGTATTATCAACACCAACATTATCAACACCAACATTATCAACACCAGTGTTATCAACACCAACATTATCAACATTTATGTAAATATTAATCATAACAATTCTTATAATTAAAACTATAAAATTATTATACATAATTTGTTTTTCAGAAGGAGACCAGAAATTTCAGTTTTGATGTAGTGCATATTACAGGTTGTCTATTGTGTCGACGTGTCGGACCTGCGAGCCAGAGACCCCAGAGGCCACACAGACGCCAGAGTCACACACCAGTATACCATCACCAACACTACACAAACTGATGACAATCACAAGCAACGAAGAAGTAAAACACAAATCAGACGGAGATGTCAGAGGGAGCTGGGAGACAACGGTACTGTTATCGCTCTCCAACGGGACTGATTACTCCGAGACGGCGACGTTACCAGTGACAGTGTGTCTGGCTCTCCCAGAGCAGCTCAGCGAAGGTAATATTATATTGTTACGGCCCTATTGGGTCGCAACGGGGTTCTTTCTCTGATGTTATTAGAGTTTGGGTATCCAGCCCTAAGTTAGTAGTGGCTTTCAAGGGGTGTGTTCCGTAACGCAAGTAAATTAAAGGAGCAGGGATACAAATTCACTAAATTAAATATATATTCACACCACCACCATAAATAAATATATAAACAGTCACACGCGGTTACTATGACTACACTTATTTACAATCACTTGTCTTCCTCCGAAGACTCAGGATGTTTCACGGTGCTCAAGACGAGTAGCCCAGGTTTTCTTCTTGTGGCCTCACGATGAATCCTTCGATTCCCTCGGCGAGTCTACCCTGGCCACAGGCCAGCCAAATCACAGTCCCACTGGGTGCGCCGTCGTGGAGGCCTTCAACCACAAATCCAGCCTGTAGCTGGCAGGTTCCAATCAGCTCTGCTGCATAGGCCACTCCACGGCCGATACTAGAGTTGCAAGCCCTAGGGTGGAGCCTCGTGTGATTCCGCTGATCACTCTCCTCACCACAACACCCCAGTCGCTAGTCTTCTCCACCAGTCAGCCCCGGGTACGACAATTCCTGGTTCTGCCACGTCACAGGCAGGCTAACACAACAGTGTTCATCCGGGGGGGAGGGTGGGTGACTCACAGCTTCTACAGCAAACACTTGGAAGGACTCTGGCTGCCTCTGATAGACTGCAATCCAGCAGTCCCAGGTCGACTCTGTAATCAGACACGTCATTAGTACTGGGCACTCTCTAGGGCACCTCACTTACAGGCTTAGACACAAACGCCTCTGCTGACCTCACCAGAGGTCAGCAGCGGCTATGTCACGAGCTGATTAGGACGGGAAACCAGCCCCTGTGGCCGGTATATCTCGTCCTCACTAGATGGCATCGTCCATTTGGAGGGGGTTTCGGGAGCTGACCCACAGATGGAGCGGTCGTCACCGCTCCGTGCTCGGACGCTGGACTCGGGTCCGTAACATATATCTGTTGACAATATTGTTAGGGAAATGACGGGGAAGGAGGGGGAGGGTGACAGGGAAAGAGATAGATGCAAACACACACACATGTAAGGACACACATTCACACACACTGTTGGAAATTTCCAACACTTTATTGATAATATTCAGTACCTTAAGACACTAGTCTTGTACTGCTTAACATTATTTACTAACTCCACTAACATATAGCTTAGCAATAAGGAGTTTAGTTTATTAACGCGTAATAACGCATCATGTCCCAGAAATTCTAGTCAGATGTTGCATCAGCACATGACGAGAGGGAAAATTATTTACATCTGTGACAATCGTCCTAAGTTCTCTTTATTTCACATTCCTTAATGGGAATCATTAACGTTATTATTAACGGGAAAACGAGAATTAACGGGAAACGAGAATTTATATATTGTCAAATAAGACAATGGTAATACTCTAACTGGAATGGAAAACTCTAACGTTTCTGATACAAGAGTTCCATCAACTCGGGATATTAAATAAAGCTTAAAAATATTGAGCATGTCGTAACATGTGCGCCATGCAGGAGTGAGCCCTGGGAGGAGGAGAGAGGCAGGCAAGCGACGCCATAATCAACGAGGTGAGTGTCTGGTAGCTGACCATATTACCGTCTTCGTAAAGAAACATCCGTGCACCAACGGACGTTAGCAAGGCGTGGCAGCTTCATTACGTCTCAGACACCTTGATCGGCACATAATCGGGTTCTATATCTTCGAAGATAAGCAGTCGAAGAAATATATGAAAATTAACGAGTGGTAGAAGACACTAACAAGTTAGGTGAGATGAAGGTGGTGGAGGCCAAAATCGTCAGTAGTTTCAAAGCGTTATATGACAAAGAGTGCTGGGAAGACGGGACACCACGAGCGTAGCTCTCATCCTGTAACTACACTTAGGTAATTACACTTAGGTAGTTATACACACACACACACACAGGTCTGGAGGCCGGACGGCTGAGTGGACAGCGCTCGGTATTCGTAGTCCCGATGGATCCAGGGATTGATCCCCGAGGAGGCAGAAACAAATGGGCAGAGTTTCTTACACACTGATGCACCTGTTCACCCAGCAGTAAAAATAGGCACCTGGGAGTCAGACAGCTGCTACGGGCTGCTTCCTGGGTGTGTTCTTCAATGCACTTCCAAAGAGCAAGAGCTCAACCCCCGCAAGCACAACTAGGTGAGTACACACACACACAAAACAAAAAATACATCAGGAGGCTAACGTCAGACCTGCCTTAAGGAACCTGTGTAAGGAATCATTCAGAACTTTGTACACCACATATGTAAGACCAATACTGGAGTATGCGGCCCCAGCATGGAGCTCGTACCTTGTCAAGTACAAGATGACGCTGAAAAAAAGTTCAGAGGTATGCCACTAGGCTAGTCCCAGAACTAAGAGGCGTGAGTTACGAGGAAAGGCTGCGTGAAATGCAATTACGTCACTGGAAGACAGGTGACCTCGGGAAGCCATGATCCTTACCTACAAAATTCTCAGAGGAATTTTAAGGGTAGAAAAGATAAACAGTTTAACACGGGTGGTACGCGAACAAAGAATCACGGGTGTAAACTGAGTACCCAAATGAGCCACAGAGACGTTAGAAAGAACTTTTTCAGTGTCAGAGAAGTTAACAGGTGGAATGCATTGGGTAGTGATGTGGTGGAGGCTGATTTCATACAAAGTTTCAAATATAGATATGATAGAGCCCAGTAGGCTCAGGAATCTGTACAAAAGTTGATTGACAGTTGAGAGGCGGGACCAAAGAGCCAGAGATCAACTCCCGCAAGTACAACTAGGTACACGCACACACGGACAGAATTTCTTCAGTTATATGATGCAGGTAAAGGAAAACTTATACCGTGGCAGAGACGCGGAAAAAGAAAGCATGACAGGTTTAAGATAAAGTGAGAGAGGACTGGAGCACACAAGACACAACTTGGCATCAGTACAAGAGGAGGCCTCACACACACCACCACTACAAGCAACCAACTTCACCACAATGACAAGTGAGGTATAAAGAAACTTCGAGAAATGGAACGGAGATTAGTCTAAAACAGAGCTAGGCCTATTCTCTAGATGCATCAAAAATCACATTGCAAGTAAAGAATGAAATTCAGAGGTTGAACACTGGGAACCACCACACCACCTGTCTCACCTGGTACACCACCTGTCTCACCAGGTACACCACCTGTCTCACCTGGTACACCACCTGTCTCACCAGGTACACCACCGGTCTCACCTGGCACACCACCTGTCTCACCTGGTACACCACCTGTCTCACCTGGTACACCACCTGTCTCACCTGGTACACCACCTGTCTCACCTGGTACACCACCTGTCTCACCAGGTACACCACCTGTCTCACCAGGTACACCACCTGTCTCACCAGGTACACCACCTGTCTCACCTGGTACACCACCGGTCTCACCTGGCACACCACCTGTCTCACCTGGTACACCACCTGTCTCACCTGGTACACCACCTGTCTCACCTGGTACACCACCTGTCTCACCTGGTACACCACCTGTCTCACCTGGTACACCACCTGTCTCACATGGTACACCACCTGTCTCACCAGGTACACCACCTGTCTCACCTAGTACACCACCTGTCTCACCAGGTACACCACCTGTCTCACCAGGTACACCACCTGTCTCACCAGGTACACCACCTGTCTCACCAGGTACACCACCTGTCTCACCAGGTACACCACCTGTCTCACCAAGTACACCACCTGTCTCACCAGGTACACCACCGGTCTCACCAAGTACACCACCTGTCTCACCAGGTACACCACCTGTCTCACCAGGTATACCACCGGTCTCACCAGGTACACCACCTGTCTCACCAATTACACCACCTGTCTCACCAGGTACACCACCTGTCTCACTAGGTACACCACCTGTCTCACCAGATACACCACCTGTCTCACCAGGTACACCACCTGTCTCACCCGGTACACCACCTGTCTCACCAAGTACACCACCTGTCTCACCAGGTACACTACCTGTCTCACCCGGTACACCACCTGTCTCACCAGGTACACTACCTGTCTCACCAGGTACACCACCTGTCTCACCAGGTACACCACCTGTCTCACCTGGTACACCACCTGTCTCACCTGGTACACCACCTGTCTCACCTGGTACACCACCTGTCTCACCAGGTACACCACCTGTCTCACCAGGTACACCACCTGTCTCACCAGGTACACCACCTGTCTCACCAGCTGTTGCTGGCGTTTCAGGGGTTCCAGGTAAACTCTACGAACAAATTTTGTTTGTTTTTAAAATCGCGTATTTTTCAAAGACCATTTTCGAATAAAGTGTTCATAAAAGTTTGTTAAGAGTTCTTATGATGAAAATAATTTCATAGAAGTTTGTTAAGCGTTCTTATAGGGAAAATTCAAAATTTTTCAGAGTTCAGTTTTATGAATTTTTTTCAGAGTTCATATAATCATATGAGTTTATTTACATGTTTAAGACCGAAATTTGGAAAAAAAAACATTTTCAGAGAATTTGTTCAAAGATGTTTGTTAGGAGTTCTTATGGGGAAAATTCAAAATTTTTCAGAGTTCAGTTTTTATTAAAATATTTCAGAGTTCTTATGA